ATGAGACACCGTATGAAAGGCCTAGAAATATTCGGCTTTTGCAAGTTCTCACAAGNTTATTTTGGAAGAGCATTCCATCGACCGAAAACTTAGATTATGAGACACCGTATGAAAGGCCTAGAAATATTCGGCTTTTGCAAGTTCTCACAAGTTTATCAAAAGGCAAATGTCTTCGGATGCCACTTTTACACCCAGGAGCTATTTAGAAACTACCATAGAGTGGGGATACTATCGATAGTACCGCCAAACGATAGTTGCAAACATCGATAGTGCTATCGTCGGGAACCACATTATGTAGCAGTGTTCAATTGAAACCCTAAATAAATTTGTAAATTACACATATTTTTTTATTTGGATGAATCAAAAGGAACTTCTTATAATAATAGAATAAACTTGCATACATTTGAATAGGGACAGGCAAAATCTGAGTTATATGGTAAAATGAAATTCAGATTTTGTTTGTCCTTTTTCAAGTGCAAGGGAGTGAATTTGGTTATAGTAAATAAATAAAGAATATTAGTTTAAATTTACAACTCAAGGACAAGGAAAATTATTGACCCTTTATCATATTATTAGAAATCGAATAAAGTGCTGGTGAAAATAAAATTTTTGCCAGTTTTTTGTAAAGACGATTGAATTCCTTTTCTTCTGATATGCATATTTGTATACTTCGTATATAAAAATTTTAGAAAAAACACATTTAAAGGCAAAAATACCTTTTTTTACAAAAAAAAATATTTTAAACAAAAAAATTGCTAACCGATTTTAAAAAATTGGTATCGTTGTAAAGGCGAAAGGGGTTTTTCTTCTGAAATGCATATTTGTGTACTTCGTATATAAGAATTTTAGAGAAACACTTAAAAGGAAAAAAATACCAATTTTTTCTTATAAAAAATATTTTAAACAAAAAAATTACTAATTAGTAATACAATTGAATACTTTATTTAAATAAAACAGAAAATTATCTTTAATTTTTATAAATAACCGGTTATGTAAAAAATCAAAAACCATGGTGTTTTTATATTTTTATATGCCTTAGACTTCTGTTACATATACCTTTGCTTTATTTTTAATAGGGCTGTGGGTGAAAAAGAACGAATTAACGCTTAAAACACTATAAATTATTTGTTTTATTTAAATAAAGTATTCAATTGTATTACTAATTAGTAATACAATTGAATACTTTATTTAAATAAAACAGAAAATTATCTTTAATTTTTATAAATAACCGGTTATGTAAAAAATCAAAAACCATGGTGTTTTTATATTTTTATATGCCTTAGACTTCTGTTACATATACCTTTGCTTTATTTTTAATAGGGCTGTGGGTGAAAAAGAACGAATTAACGCTTAAAACACTATAAATTATTTGTTTTATTTAAATACGGTATCCAATTGTATTACTAATTAGTAGTTTTTTTGTAAATTTTTTTTATATGAAAAAATTGGTATTTTTTCCTTTTAAGTGTTTTTTCTCAAATTTTTATATACGAAGTAGATACACAAATATGCATATTAGACGAAATTTGGTTTAATCGCCTTAATAAATATGCCTTTTTTTTTTAATCGGAGAGTAATTTTTTTTATAAATATTTTTTTTTTATAAAAAAAGTGATTTTTTCCTTTTAACTGTTTTCCTCAAATTTTTATTCACGAGGTATGCAAATATGCATATCACAGGAAAGGGGGTTTAATCGTCTTTACGACGATACGATTTTTTTTTAAATCGGTTAGTAGTTTGTTTGTTTAAAATATTTTTTTTATACAAAAAAAAGGTATTTTTTCCTTAAATGTGTTTTTTCTCAAATTTTTATTTAAGAAGTATACAAATATGTATATCACAAGAAAGGGGGTTAAATCACATTTACAACGATATGAATCTTTTAAAAATCAGTTCAAAATTTTCTGAAATATTAATAATAATATCCCAACGGTTTTTACCCTCCATTCCCGCCCATCCGCACGAGGGGCGCAGTCCGCATGACGTACGGAACCAATATTTTAAATTTTTGTGCCGAGTCACGATAGGCAGGAGTTTGTTAAGTGTCGAGATCTAAAACAGTTCAGCTACAGAACTAAATTCATCAGCTGATTTTATGTATTTATGTCAATAATTCACTTATTGAGAGAGGAGAGTATCGCTTTCTTAATGCTGAAAAGCGGATCTGATATATCAAACGTGCTGGAATGAGAGTTAAAATCCTGGCATAAGCAACGGAGTGGGTCGTGCAATTCAAAATTGGTTTTACAAGCTTTTCAAGAAGTTTGTAATTTTTCTAACATCTGACCTTTGATCCGTTTTTGCACCTTTAATATAAGTTTTCACAAAAAAAGTTATATACCATTGGTCCCGAACAAAACCACACAGGGCGCGAATAACTTACGGCGGCGAAACTAGCAAGGCAATGCCCGAAAGAAAATAAGTAATTACCACGTTACCGTGAATTCAAAGGCGGACGAACCGATCTCTTTATTTGCTTCAGGTGGACTGACAATGCATTAAACTTACTGCTAACTACAAAGCGTACCTTTTTATGCATTCAAATATGTACATACATAAAGTGGACTGTATAAAAGGAGTAACTGTTACTACATACCAATATGTTTGCTTATGTACATACGTACATACCTACCGACGCATAACAGAGAATTGAACTAACTTAGATAAAGGGTGTGTCGTTCCGCAACATCCCGCCCCCGCTGAACCATTGGTTCAGGTAAGTGGTAAGACCGCAATTTTTGCAATTGGCCGAATATATTGACCACGAGACGTTTGTATGGTTGCCACTCGAACCAGACCATCGCTTCCTCGGTTTGCTGTCACTACACGTCCCATGAGCCATTTTGATGGCGGTAGATTTGGTTCCTTCAGGAGAACTACCGTGTTTGGCTCAATGTTGAGCTGCTGTCGTTGCCACTTATTCCGTGCTTGTAGCGACGTCACATACTCTGCATGCCACCGCTTCCAAAAGCCTTGGACCATTGCTTGGAGGTGTCGCCAATGTTTAAGGCGGTTTACATTTATATCCAAGAGTGAAGGTTCTGGAACCGATGTATATGGCGCCCCAATCAAAAAGTGGGCGGGTGTTAGGGCATTCGACTCGGTGTCTGAGGATGCGCATAAGGGCCGAGAATTTATGATAGCCTCAATTTGGGCGAGAACGGTACAATATTCTTCGAAAGTTAATACGTTGTTCCCAATGACTCGACGAAGATGCATCTTAATAGACCGTATGCCCGACTCCCAGAGTCCTCCAAAGTGGGGCGCGGATGGCGGAATAAAATGCCACTGAACTCCTTCAGCAGCCAGAGCATCAGACACTTCACGAGTGTGCGCTTCAGATACAGCGAATTTTTGAAGTTCGTTTAACACTCGATAAGCTCCATGAAATGTTGTACCATTGTCAGAATATAAGTCGGTTGGCATTCCTCGACGCGCGACAAAGCGACGAAATGCTGCTAGGAATGCATCTGTCGTAAGATCGCTTACGAGCTCAATGTGTATGGCCTTTGTTGACATGCAAATGAATAGAGCGAACCATGCCTTTCCAGTCTTCGCGTTGCGCGTTCGGGACAGTTTGATTTGGACAGGTCCTGCGTAGTCTAGACCACAATGTTGAAAACAGCGAGCAGGTTGCACTCGTACAGCTGGAAGATCCGCCATCAATTGTTCACTGGTACTGCGGCGTTGCAGGAAGCAGGTTTTGCAAGAAAACACTATCTTTCGAACGATATTACGACAGCCAATAATCCAGTAGTGTTGTCTGACAATAGCAAAAGTTGCGTCAACACCTGGGTGCAAGTACTTAGCATGGATGTACCTGCAAATAAGCTGAGAAACATTAGAAACTTTGGACAATAAAATTGGATGCTTTACTGAGTCTGGCAAGAAAGTATTCTTGATACGCCCTCCAACGCGAAGAACACCGACCTCATCCAAAAATGGAGTGAAACGAAGTAATCTAGACTTCGCCTTCAACGGCTGTCCCCTTTTGAGCTGGCATACTTCTTCCCTGAATGTGTTCACTTGACAGTAGCGAACAATAGCATTTGTGGCCAGTTTGAGGTCGCGGGCGCTCAGAGCGTTTGTAAGAGGATTTGGTTCTGCTTCACTTCGGCGACACCTTCGAATAAAGCGCTGACAGTATGCCACAACACGTAGCAAACGTATCCATGTCGAAGATTTTGTTATAAGTTTATCCAAAGCGGGTTGGTCGTCTTGCGCACAAAGAACTATGTCTGAAGGAGGTTTGCGTTGTTCGATAATGACATGTGAGTCATTCGATGGGGTGGTGTTGCCGAAAGTTGGCCATTGGCTTCGAGGCGAAGATAACCATGACGGCCCATGCCACCAAAGCGAGTGACGAGCTAATTCAGTTGGAAGCACACCACGGGACGCACAGTCAGCGGGATTATCAGCTGATCGCACATGGTGCCAATGCTGGCGAGGGCAAACATCGAGTATGTCTGCAGTACGGTTACACACGAACGGCGTCCATCTACGAGGGGGCGATGAAAGCCAGTGCAGCACGATTTCAGAATCGCTCCAACAATACATATTCGCAATTTTCAAGGTGAGAGAGGTAGTAATAGATGTTACCAATTTGGTTAGCAAATGAGCGGCGCTTAATTCCAAGCGCGGAATTGACAGGGGCTTTAACGGGGCAACCCTGGTTTTTGCGGCAATTAAATTTACAACGAAGGAATCGTCACTTAGCTTGGATCTACTATAAACTGCAGCTGCGTATGCCGACGATGAGGCATCTGCAAAGCCGTGGATTTCGATTGAGACGCCGGCTGGAGCTATTTGACGTGGAATCCTGACATTGGAGAGATAATGCAACTCGGATAGTATTTTCTTCCAGTGATCACTCAAAGTGGGTGGCAGCTTAGTATCCCAGTCGACACCTTGACACCAAGTTTCTTGTAAAAGTATTTTAAAGAGCACGACACTCGGTGACACCAGACCAAGAGGATCAAAGATTTTGGCTGTTGTCGATAACACACTGCGCTTCGTTGGCTCGCTGCATGACTCAGGCAATTTAGTTGCTATCTGGAACTCGTCCGTGTCAGGGCTCCACTGTATTCCAAGCAATTTAACACATAAAATGTTGGGCTCGGAAGCGATGTCGATTGGGCTATGCTCACACAGCTCTCTTGGTAAGGTTTCCAACAACGGTTTGCAATTCGAACACCATTTTTGTAACTTAAAATTTGCACGTTTTAGTAGCTCGATAAGTTCAGTTTTAAGCTGGAGTAGCTCGTCGACGTTATCACATCCGGTAGCTATGTCATCGACATACGTATCATTCAATATTACACGCGCTGCAAATGGGTAGGTTACCTTATGGTCTTCTGCCAGTTGCTTGAGAACACGTACAGCAAGAAAAGGCGACGCAGCAAGGCCGTAGGTTACCGTGAGTAGTCGGTAATGCTCCACTGGTGAACCCGCATCCTCCCGCCAAACGATTCGTTGGAATTTAGTATCAGAATCTGATACCATAATGCCGCGAAACATTTTCTCTATGTCAGCTGAGAAAACGTAACGATGCTGACGAAAACGAATACACACGCCAAACAAATCACGCTGAATGGGTGGGCCAATATGCAAACGCTCGTTAAGTGAGTAGCCACCAGAATCTTTGCAGGATCCATCAAATACGACTCGGCATTTCGTGGTTGAGCTGTCTGGTTTGAGAACTGCGTGATGAGCCAGATAAAAACACTCCGATGGATGGCAGTCAACTTCCTGCGGCGTAATACGGGCCATATGGCCAAGCGACAAATACTCACGCATAAAATTTATGTATTGACTCTTCAGAAATGAGTCACGTTTGAAACGGCGTTCCATATATTGTAATCTGGTGACAGCTTGCGAAAGAGTTGATGAAATTGCCGGTGCCTTTTCCTTGAAGGGATATTTGACTACGTAGGTACCGTCAGTACGACGCGTGTGAGTACGAACAAAATGGGCCTCTGCTGGATCTGCCATATTGATCTTTTCTGGTGTAGGTTTGACATCCTCGACTTCCATAAATGACCGAAACAGCGCATCAATGTTAACGGTAGCATGATGAGTTGCAGCAGTTAAGTTAGCTTCGCTTTCGGTAAAATGCGTTCCAGCTACCACCCAACCAAACACGCTATTCAGCAAAATCGGCATGTTAGGCCCGAACTGTTTTTGCTCGCCAGTGTAAATGCTCCACAACTGATCGGAGCCAATCAATACATCAATTGGTGCTGATTCAGCGAATGTAGGGTCAGCGAGTGGTAGTTTCACAATTGATCGCCACGATGATGAAGAAATATTCACGGTCTGAACAGGAATTTGCGATGTTAACTTGCTGAGAATATAAGCGTGTATATCTAGTGTCGAGTCGTTCAATTTGGAGCTTAAAGTGAAGTACACCCGACCTCGCGTTACTCCGGCATTGCAGGCTGATAGACCAGAAACTGATATACGACCGTTTGTACGTGATAGACCGACACGTTGTACAAAGGCTTCTGACACAAATGATATTGTTGATCCAGAGTCCAGCAATATTCGACAGCTTACCCGATTTCCCCATTTGTCATCGACTGCGGCCACCACCGTTGGGAGAAACGTGTGAGGCATAGCAGCAGTAACGGAGGTTAAAGTGCTGACCGCTGCTTGCTTTAGTGTTGGCGTGTGCATACGCTGCGTAGTGACAGCAGGTACTTGCTCATTTTGATCCCAACTATTTTGTGCTGATGAAGGAAAAGAAGTAGAAGAGGGCGTGAGGGCAGACCGTTCATCATGCAGAAGTGTATGGTGGCGTGAGCTACATTTTTTACAGCTATGCTTCGATTGACAAGAGCGCACGGAATGCGTAGAGGCAAGGCAATTAAAACATAGCTTTTGTTTTTGTACAGCTGCCCGACGTGACGACGGTGATAACTGTTTGAATTGAGCGCATTGCCAAAGCGTGTGATTGTCCGTGCAAACGACGCATTGTTTGTTCTTCCTGTCATCAACATTTGCCAACAAAGCGACGCGACGTGTGTGGGCTGAGCGGGGAGGTAAACACGCCTCAAATGTGTCACAGCGATGAGAAAGAAACTCGAGAAACTCGCTAAACCCTTTTTCGCTCTGGTTATCGCATTTGTCTGCCCACTTTTTCCGCGTTTCTTCGTCTAATTTATTAAGCAAGAGTTGAGTTAGCCATGGGTCGCGGGATGTGACATTCAACGCGTCCAGACCTCTGATGGCTTGATCTGCTCCATCAACTATTTGGCGAAGTACCGATGTGTTAGTTGAAGAGAGGGTGGGAAGAGCCAAAAACGATTGCACCAGTGACCTAATTATGAGCGGTTTGCGGTCGTACCTTTTGACTAAGCGGTCCCATGCCTGCTCATAATTGTCTTCGGTCACACGGATATGTTTTATGCTGGCTAAGGCATCGCCTTCTAGATATGAAACCAAATATTGAAATTTTTGCGTACGGCTCAACCCTGACTTTGTTCCCACTGCGCTAAGAAACAAGTCGCGAAAAGTAATCCAGTCCTCGTATTTCCCGTTGAACTTAGGTAACTGAATTTTCGTTAGGTGAACGTTTTGCTCACTACGGCTAGCCGCAAATGTTTCCAAAAATGATGCTTGCTGTATTGCTAAACGATCAATTGCGTCATCCTCCCTGAATGTAGATGTTTGACTTGAAGAAACTGGCAAGTTAGCAATTTGAGAATGCAGGAGTGCATGTGTTTGAAAATGTTTCTCCTCCGTTTGCTCAATGTCTTCAATAGGGTCGACGAAGTTATCTTCCGCAGAATATGCGTACAATTCTTGACTCATACTCATAAAGTCCTTATAGGCAGCTTCCAATTTTTCAAGCCTATACATAAGAGATTCCCTGGTAGGGGCTTCGGTCGGTTGCTTGGCAGCCTTGTAAGCGCGATCAATCGCCAATTTCACCCAAGCTCGATTCCGCTGCAACAGCTCCATTACACCGTTTAAAATTGGCTGCACGTTAAGTGTTCAACGTAAGATTATCAAATATAGTTAACCGCAAGAGATTCACGAGCACTAATTCGAGGATCCGGCTCGCTGGACCAGCAATTTGTATGGTCCCGAACAAAACCACACAGGGCGCGAATAACTTACGGCGGCGAAACTAGCAAGGCAATGCCCGAAAGAAAATAAGTAATTACCACGTTACCGTGAATTCAAAGGCGGACGAACCGATCTCTTTATTTGCTTCAGGTGGACTGACAATGCATTAAACTTACTGCTAACTACAAAGCGTACCTTTTTATGCATTCAAATATGTACATACATAAAGTGGACTGTATAAAAGGAGTAACTGTTACTACATACCAATATGTTTGCTTATGTACATACGTACATACCTACCGACGCATAACAGAGAATTGAACTAACTTAGATAAAGGGTGTGTCGTTCCGCAACAACCATATTAATAAGAGAGAAAGGCGGACCACGTCTGTATTTTTAGTTTTTTTGCTTTTTACATGCAATAATAAAAAATAATTTTTTGAACGAAAAACGGAGAACTTACTTTTTTTACTTATGACACAATCTCTTAAAAAAAGTTGGTTTGGTCCAATACCCAGCCGAATGTTGTACAGTGTAATGATAGAGCAATATCTATACCATTTTCAAAAAGAGTGTAGTGCTCGTTTCGAGTGGCTACAAAATACCGTAGATATTTGAAATTTTTTTTTTATTAAAGGCGTTTCTCATTTTCTCCATATAAAAAAAATCGTCGAACATAGTTTGTATGGAAAATAATTGACATCCTCAACAATAAATTTGCCAAAAATCAACGGTATTTTGTAGCCACTTGAAACTTGCACTTTATTGCACTAAAAAAATCTAATTAAAAACCCCGACATTTTTACAAAAGTTTGTTGATTTTTTTTAATTTTCCACAAAGATTGAAACTTGGATTTATATGGTTTTTGTTGCAGAATGTACTATATTTTTATAAACAAATTATTAAAATAAAAAATATTAAGATAAATGGTCAAATCTTGTCAATATGTGTGTGTCGTAAAGTTATGATAAGCACCATACATACCAACCGACACACACGACTTTTGATGAAAATCGCACTTTTACAGTTAAGATTGGATTTATATTTTCTCGATCATATTCAATAGATAACGATTTTTTTACTTCGAAAAAATCTTATTGATACTTTTATAGCATCTTATAGTATTATAATTGTAACAATCGTTTTCGTTCAGATTTAATTTTTTAGATATTACAGTAATCAATGGTGTTACCAGACCACAAGTATTCCAAAACTGAAAATTCAATAATAAAGATTTAATACTATATATTATTTTGGAACAGGATTTTTGCATTCACTTTAAAAACGAACTTTCTTATTCATTGATGTTTTATGTAAATAATAATTTACTAGAACAATTTTCTCCACCACTTACATATCGTCACCTGAATTGCAAAATAACGTAACAACATCGCCACTGAAATGGAAAAAGTCGTGACAATTTTTTTTTTCACAAAACGATGTGGGGAGTTGTAATTTGATGAAATACATCATAGCAATCAAAAAGTGAATTTTGAATTTTTTATAAGTTACGACTTTTTATATTTCAGTGACGATGATGTTACGTTATTTTGCATTTCAGGTAACGATATGTACATGACGATGGAAAATATATAGATGATTTCAGAGGTTAAATATCTCTTTATGGTACAAAGGGTTTTTTAATAAAATTTTGGCATGTATATATATAAGTACATATGTATGTATATGTACATATTCGAAATGTTTATCTGTATCTAGCCTTTGCTGTTAGCTTTAGATTTAGGGAAATTACTCAAAATTGATGAAACAAATTGTCGAACAACTATTTTCAGATTTCATTTTTTAGTTTTGATAAATTGATAAGTATCCAAAACTATGAGGTACGCGCAAATCAATTGAAATTACCCTGCAGTGAAACCCCAAACTAGTCAGGAAAAATTCTAGTTTACAACTAGAATTTCCTGACAGAAACCGAACTAGTTCGAAAATGACCAGACATGTACCAAGTACAAAACGATTTAGTCATGCCCTGTTTTATTTGACTTCGACAGTTTAATACAATAAAGTACACAAAATATTATAACTTTTATTTGGGTATATTTTGTAAACCATTAAATCGAGTACGTATTCAATTATACCTGACCTCTTAAATAATGATTAATATTCATAATGATTATTGAGCATGTTTTTTGGATAACCGTTTAATAATTACATGCCCATATTACCACCTTTTTAATGATTAATAGTTAATTACTTAAATAAAATGTTAATTAAATCATTAATTTTAATTACATCATTATTTTGTTATTTTTGATAATATTCAATTATTTTTGACTGTTTTTAATTACTCGATTAATATAATTATTTGTTAATTTCTATTACCAATCAACAAGCCGAACAATGGATAAAAATTAAGAATTATTTATTTATTTTATTCTTATCCAAATCTCAAATTTTAAACATTAATTATTACCTTTATAAATTTTTAAAATGAATATACTAAAATGTGCAAAGTTAATGAATTTAATTTATTTTAATGAACACTTTTATTTCTATTTTAGTTCACTCAAAAATGAACTAAAGTATTCATTTTATTTTTAGCTAAAATGTTTTCTTTTGCGTATTCAATATTATTAAAAAAGATAAAAATATAGTATTTATTGTACTTGAAACCTTTTACTTTTAATAACATTTAATGAAAAATGCATTTAAATTTATGTTCGAAAGTTTGGAATATTTATGTATTTATTTTTGCTTTTAATTAATACTCAAAAAATTTAACACTAATTATTGGAAAATCTAATGCTGCTAAATAAAAATGTGTAATATATTAAAGTGCACTTAATCAAAAGCTTTTTATTGTATATTCATGAATTCATTTCATTTTTTGACTCCCAAAGTAGTGGTTTTGGTCCATAATTGGGCTAGCATTTTTCTGCCTATTTGGAACTAGTATGAGACTGGTATATTTCTGACCGAAATCTGACAATGGCCATCTCGTAGGACATCCCCATGTTAAAAATACATGGAAAAAAGATAGTTGGCTGACTAGTTGGGCATGCGGTTCATACTAGTTGTGAGGTAGCTTACAACTAGTACATTTGACTACAGGGTAGTTACAGCTCCGTATGCACTTGAACCACGTAATTATGGTTGTAAGGGATTTCTCTTCGGGATAGTATATATCAAGATGCACACATGACAGTGGATATGCGTGCATGTGTCTGCGCATTCAGTGGCGGATCTAAAGTAAAATTTTGGAGGGAGAGGGGAAATTTCAATATGAAGTACCTTATTCAATGATTGTGTTAATAAGTCAACATAAACTTTATTTTTGATGTATATAAATATCTAGGTACATATGTAAAAAAAACATTGGCCCGTAGTCATTGAGACGTTCGAAAAAGGTTTTAACGATTAAAATTGTGTTTTATTGTAATCCATTGTAAACCATTTTAACTCTTTCAAAGTCAACTTAAAATGCATTTTATGGCAAAAACAGAATTTTAGCTTTAAAATGAGGAGAACTTGGTTTTAAAATGGTAAAATAAGGTTCTAAGTTTGGTTTCGTTGTTGAAATAGTAAACGCAATAGCACCCAGGTTCGGTCCCCACTCCGAGCGATTCCAAACAATTTTTGTTTTATTTTTTATTTTTATTTTACCATAAACATTATTTTATTTTGTTTTATTATCTTTTTTTTTGTTTATAGTATTTCATATAATTATTTCGTTATTAATACATTTTTTTGGAGTTTAATTTTTATTAAAGATGCCAGAACAACTATAATTAAATAACAAAAATTTAAATAATATTTAAAAGAACAAAAAAAATTAAAAAAATGTTTCCTGGCAGTGGGATTCGAACCCATGACTTCCCGGCTTGCTAAATCCGCAATCCTGCAGCGGACACAGGGTGAACTAATTAAAGTACTCATATTTCTATATATTGCCGGGTAAATTTTTTCTCTTCATATGGATAGCACTGTTCTCTCTCATCTTAACAAAAAGCTGTTTCTAAGATGTCTATGATTAACACAACTTAAAACTCTATTCTAAACTTAAAACTGTATTTTAACAAGAATGAGTTTTAACTTGCGACTATGACTATAGGCCATTTATTTTAGACACTGAAATTGACGCAGTGGTTGCCCATATTGAGAAATCTTTCCATCTTTTCTTCTAGCTTTACTTCAACGTCGCAATTTATTGTTCTGAGCCATGTTTTGATTCGAAGCAAAGAAGAGAATTTTTGATTTGGTTTTTATTAATTACGAAAAAGCATCTGTGAAGTGAAAAACAAAATCAAATGACGAAGAAAATTTATTCAAGTTGAATATTTGAAAACATAGTTACAGAACGGCTGTAGCTGAGTGTGCAGAAATTCTCGCTGTTATTTTCTAACTTCCTGTAGGTCCTGGTTCGGATCTCGTCAAAGGCATCTGGTTAAAATGATAATAAACATTTTTGTTTTGTGTATCCGGACAATGAAAAGGCATCTGTGAAGTGCAGAACAAGAGCATGTACAAACGAAAAAATATATCAACAATGACATTGTTAATATATTGGAGTAGTTTTGTGCTACTCTGTGTAATGCAGAGCTGGAGTATATGGCCCAAATTTTTATATACATTGTGGTTAATTTTGGAGTACTCCTCGTCCCGTGGATTGTACTCTTTACATGCATACATGGAGTAGTTGGGGTTGCCAACATTTTGTAAGATATTTATAGTACTTTTTCAAAAATAACTCAAAAAATATAGTAGGCTTCAAATATACATAGTATTTTATATAAAAGAACAAGTAAAATTTTTAAGTAAACATCTTTTTTCTTAATATATTTCATTGCACTCTTAGTAGTTTTTCACAATTCCTTGTTAACCACGAAAGTATTATATGCTTTATCGCAATCAATATTTAAATTAATAAAA